AAAAAAAAAAAAAAAAAAAAAAAAAAAAAAAAAAAAAATGTAACATCAGCCACACTGGGGCTGCTGGAGCTCAGGGGAAGAGGAGAGACCTACGGAGCTCATGAAGGCAGGAGAAACCATGATGAGAGAAAGAAAATACTGCTCTGAGCATGTCGGGCCGCGGCTGCTTTAAGGCTCAAACTGATGAGCGCACGGAGTAGGAGCCAGCAGAAGCTGCAGCTGTGCCCTTCAAATGGAGTTACTTGGAGGAGGAAGGGGAGAAGAGGGCCTTGGCAGCCCCCAGAACAGCAAGACCACTAATAGGGTTACTGTGGACCCACGTAGGAGAGAGGAGCCATAACTGAAAAAAGGGAACCATTCAGAGGCTGGTGAGTCATCCAGCGAAGGACCTGTCCCATGGAAGTGTCTGGAGCACATGCAGTGGGAGAGACTGGCCCACCTGGAGAACACTGGGGCACAGCAAGGATAGCCAATCTGCCCCCCAGTCAGCACAGGACCACTCAGAGGAGACTGGTCAGAATGCAGAATTGCATGGGGTGCAGTTTGATGAAAAAACTCAGGCACAGATCAGAGATTCTACACAACACAGATCCATCAGGTCTCTGGAGAGCCAGAAGTACCTATAAGGTTAACTATTAAACCCTGAGCTGCACAAAAAGCCTTCCCTAGGAAAACAGCAGCAAAGCAACAATCTAACTCAACCACATAGCTCAAGTACTGGTTTCCACAGGAAGTTCCCCTATTTTAGAAGTAAGCAAAGGACAAAAAATTAGTTCTGGCCCAGACACACCACTAGCACCTTGGGGCCTGCCTGGGAACCGGAGGCTTCGAGCCAGGGACCAGACCCCACTCCCACATCCAGGCACACTGTGCCAGCGCCTCGGGGTCTGCCCGGGGACCAGAGGCATGGAGAAGGTGATCAGACATACCCCACAACCAGGCACACCACCAGCACCAAGGAGCATGCCAAAAATATCACCTCTATGTGGATTGCCCACCACAACCACCACAATAACCACGGCTGCCGCTAAAGCGGCTAGATGCCACAACCACCACTCAGATGGTCCACCAGCCACTGGAGTGCATTGACACAAGGAGAGTCACCAGCAGAGATAAAGAAAAGAGGATGTCTTTTTATACAAAGCCCATTTCAGAGTGACAGAAGAAGCATCTGCTCTATGATAATATTGGGGGACCTGATCACACCTCTCACCACTGGACAGATCATCTAGGCAACAAATTAACAGAGTAACCATTGTTCTTTCAGAAGGAGAAAAGAAATCTAGGGTAATTAGAGGGGGTGGGAGTGGGGGAAGGGGAGAGATTGGACAAGGGTCATAAAGAATAATTACGATTGGTAATGATATATACGCTAGTAATATTGATTTGATC